AATGACAAGTGCTAGAGAGGATGCGGAGAAAAAGGAACCCTCCTTCACTGCTGGTGGGAATGCAGACTGGTGCAGCCACTGTGGAAAACAGTATGGTGTTTTCTCAAAAATTTAAAAATGGAACAGCCATTTGACCCAGTGATCCTACTTCTAGGAATATATCCCAAGAAACCAGAAACACCAATCAGAAAGGATATATGCACCCCTATGTTCATAGCAGCACAATTTACCATAGCTAAGATTTGGAAACAGCCTAAATGCCCATCAGCAGATGAATGAATTAGAAAACTGTGGTACATCTACACAATGGAATACTATGCTGCTATAAAAAAGAAGGAATTCTTACCATTTGCAGCAGCATGGATGGAACTGGAGAGCATTATGCTAAGTGAAATAAGCCAGGTAGTGAAAGTAAAATACCACATGAACTCACTCATTTATGGATAATAAAGAATATTATAACCTGATGAACACAAAGATAGATACAGAGGCAGAGAAGCATGGAACAGACTGTCAAATTACAGTGGGAAGGCTGGGGAGTGTTGGAGGCGGGGAGGTAAGAGATCAACCGAAGGACTTGTATGCATGCATATAAGCATAACCAATAGACACAAGACACTGGGCGGGGAGGGGGGGGCGGTGAGGGCATGTGCCAGGGGGTAGGGGAGGCCGAGGGAAGATCAATGGAGAAAAAAAGGAGACATATGTACTACTATTTGTAACACTTTAAACAATAAAATAAAATTTAAAGAAAAAGAAGCAAAGTTTATTTCCCAATTAAAAAAGAACTTCCTGACAGGCAGACACACCCACACACCACACTCACAACAGTTCTTCCACACCTGCCTGGTTTCTCCGGGGCCGCCAGCTGTCTCTGGGCGCCTGGGTCCTGGCTGCAGCTTACCCCAGGCGTCATTCGCATTCGGTCTCATCAGAACCAGCAGCACCCACGCAGACACTGGTTTTTACCCATGTGATCACCTCCGGACACCAGTCAGGCCGCCTCCCAGGAGTGCAATTCCACCAGCAAGTGCAGACCTCAGGGTTATTCTGAGCTCCATTTGCTTTTTGTTGTTGGTTTGTGTTTTTTTTTTGTTGTTTGTTTGTTTGTTTGTTAATCCTCACCTGAGGATATTTTCCAATTGGCTTTTAGATAGAATGGAAGGGAGGGGGAGAGACAGAGAGGGCGAAATGTCAGTGTGAGAGAGACACATCAACTGGGTGCCTCCCGTACGTGCCCCATCAGGGCTGGGGATTAAGCCTGCAACCGCCTACATGCCCTTGACCAGATTCAAACCTGGGGCCCTTCTATCTGTGGGCAGATTCTCCATCCACTGAGCCAAACCCCGTGAGGGCTGGGCTCCATTTTTTAAGTTCTAATGAATGGCTCCGGAAAGAGCTTAAAGTTTATTTTTTAAATGGGGTATGGAGGGAGTCTCATTGATGTGTGCAAGTTTTTTTTTTGTTGTTGTTGTTAATCCTCACCTGAGGATATTTTTCCATGGATTTCTAAAGAGAGTGGAAGAGGAAGAGAGGGAGGGAAAGAAAGAGAGCAAGAGAGAGAGAGAAAGAAAAAGAGAGAAACTTCGATGTGAGAGACACCCATCGATTGGTTGCCTCCTGCTCATGCGCTGACTGGGCCCGGGGATTGAACCTGCAGCCCAGGGACGTGCCCTTCACCGGGAATTGAACCTGAGACCCTTTCATGCATGGGCCGACGCTCTAACCACCGAGCAACAGCAGCCAGGGCGATGTGTGCATTTTTGAAGGAGCACCAGCGTTCTCTTGAGTGATGGCCAGCTCTTACGGTGGCAGGTGCTGAGAAGTGTTGTAGCCTTCATCGAAAAGCCGAGGACTTTATGGAGGTGAAATGACTATCATTAACAACACCAAAAATGGCAGTGAAAGCAGCAGCAGCCACCCTGGGCTGAACCCCTTGGCCCGGACAGCCGGCTTACCTGACATTTTATCACCCGCGTCTTGTCTTATCTTCACCCTGTTTATCAAGGGTCGGTCCCCTGCTGCCGGGGCTGGACTGACATGTCCCTGGCAAGCCCTTCCCATCCCAGTCCCCGTGTATCCTCAGGCCGCCCTGGGAGGCTGGGTGTGTCCCATCGCAGCTGAGGGAGCAGGGGTCGGAGGGCTCCAGCCGCTGGCCCAAGGCCACACGGCCGGAAAGGGGAGCGCCTGGATTTGAATGCGGTCAGCCCGCTCCGCCCTGCTCCTCACCTGGCCCACTTGCCTGAGGCCTCACCTCTCCCCGGCTCAGGGCGGATGACCCGCCCTTGGTGGACCTCTGAGGACAGCTTTAAACTGGGACTGGGGGTCAGAGGGATTGCGAGTCCTTTCTCCAGCTTTGTCCCCCAAACTTAAGATGACGTGTCACCTAAGGAAAAAATAAAATAAAAAATGGAACCGCTTCCAAACGAGCGGGCGCTGCCGTCCCAGAGGAGCTGCCTTGCACACCTGAGGCCTCACACCTTTGCGGTGTGAAAACCACCTTTGGATGGGCCGAAAGCAGGCTGTGCCGGAAAGCACTGTTTGCAAAGATAATAAGAAGCAGATACTATGACTTCCAGGCGGAGAGTGAAAACATTGTTTAGAATCAGTGGCGCCGTGTTGCCTTTTCTGCACGAAAAGCAACGCCTTCCTGCTGTGGATGGAACTGTCCCCTCCCCTCCCTTCCCTTCCTCATCAATACCCACCCTTTGTCTCCTCATCGGAACCATTGGGTTTCTGCCCGAGTCAGTGCCTGTGGAATAGCTGTTCTTATTGATCTCAAGTAACTGCCATTGCCTCTGACTCGGAAAAGCCCTTTTGTCTCTAGGCGACTCCCTGGAACTCTGGCCCAGCTTCTGCGATGTGAAGGCAGAGCTTCCTGAAGCGTGTTTTGGGGTGCTCCCCTGGAAAAGGGCTCTGCTCCTTCTGAGGAAGTGGGGCGGCTCCGGGGAATGTCCCAGAACCCCGAACCCTTCAGAGCCTGTGGAGTGGCTCTGGGCTCTCCTGAAAGTGACGGCCATCGGTGGGTCACTTTAGAAATAACCTGGATTTGTTATCTATTGCTGAGTAACAAATTCCCCCCCAAACCCTAATGGCCTGAAACTCTGTGACCTCACAGCTCCTGTGGGTCAGGAATCCAGGGGCCGCTGAGCTGGGGCCTCTGGGCCAGGGTCTCTCACAGGTGGTGGCCTTCACGAGGCTCCACTGGGAAGGATCAGCTTCCCAGTTCATTCACAAGCGTGCTGGGGGTGGGGCTTGTTGGTGGGTGGGGCTTGCTGGGGTGGGGCTTGCTGGGCTCATGAGCTGCTGGGCGTGGTTTCCCTTCCTTCCTTCTTTGTCGTGTGGGCATCTCCATAGAGTATCTCATGACACAGCAGCTGGCTTCCTCAGGGAGAGTGGGAGGGGAGAGGGAGAGAGGGGGGAAGCTTCAAGATGGAAGTCACAGTCCCTTGTGACCTAGTCTGGGAAGTGGCCTCCTGTCACCTTTGCACACTTTCTATGGAAGAGTCACTGGATCCACCCACACGCAGGGCAGGGTCTGCACATCCACACACGCTCGGTGATAAACTGAACCAGACCGGACAAGGGGCTCCTTAGAGTCTTGATTCCATTTAGTGTGAATATTGGAACATTTTGCTACAAAAACATCAATGGGTTTAATTTGTGGGGTGGCTGCCCCAGACCTTGCCAGAAGGGTTATGCAATATGCAGGTGACATGCTTTTTAAAATCTACAACTTCCTAAATTCTAGACACTTCTGATCTCACGTCTTGGGACACTGAGGTTACCCAGGTGTGTTTGAGTGTGTAAGGCTTGTGTTTTCCAGTAGTTTTATTCGATCATGTGATGATTTTCTTATAACTCAACCTGGGAGTTTCTACTCTGTCTTGGGCTGCAATGTGCTTGTGACAGAATCCATGCTGAGTCCCGGCCAAACTCTGTTTGGCATCATTTCAGAGGCCACTCATTCCGAGCCCCACTGGAGGCTCATGGCTGTGATGTCTGTTACCATGGTGCACACGGGACCGCCAGCCTCGCCTCGACCTTGGGAATGTGGCATTTTACAGCGTGTGGTGACATTTATCCCATTTAAAACCCACAAAGAGGTTGATTTCCATAGATTACATGTCAAGCTTGAAACCGTCCAGGGTGATTGAATCTTCGAGTGCTGTCCACGCGATTCTCAACCGAGGCCGTTGGTGGGGCCCTGCTGCTCTGTTAGGAGCCTGGGGTGTGGCCCAAATGCCTGGGGTGGGGCTGAGTCTAGGGCCGTCGGTGCAGGTACGAAGGAGCCCCACCCTCCGCTCCTCAGAGACAAACACAAACCAGCTTCCCAGGTGGCCTGCATACTGCATGCCCCTCCTCTGGGGATCTGGGGAGGCCACAGGCTTTCCCTGTAGCTCCTTCCCCCAGCTGGACACCCCCCGCCCCCCCGCCCTTTGTAGGACCTGAGCAAAGCCAGGCAGGGACCAAGGGGTTGAAGTCCGCTGCCCACGAGGGAAAGGAGAGTGGCTGGTTGGCCAGCCCAGCTGCTGGGTTGGTAGGGGTGGCGGGGGCAGGCAAGCAGGAAGTTTCATGCAGACCCCGTGGGGAACCTCCTGTTCTGGAAACTTCCGCTCACCACAACGGGTTGTTGACATTGCAGATCTCCTGGGACAGAAGAGTCATTCTTCCTGAGGACAGGCCCAGAGCACCTGGTCCACAATCTCATTACAAAAGTGGAGTGACAGGGGCTGTAAGCAGCATTAAAGGGCCTGGACAAGCAACTTTAAAATGAAAGCACATTGTTTTTTTTAAAAGCCGTACCTAGAAATTCCCAAGGTACCCAAAGAAAATTCAGAGTAGCCAAGAATGAGTGTTATGAGAATGTTCTGGAAGGGCGGTATTGATGAATTGACAATGTCAGAGGGCTATTCTCTGTTCCTTGCCCTGGGAGCTTTCTTTCCTGGGTGTGGGCGCCGGTGCCTGGCGGTCCGCCCTGCGCTGCCCCAGGGCTGGACTCAGTGGATGCCCTGCTTCGGCCAGCCGAGCTCCCTGGCATAGGCGCCCTTGCAGCTCCTGATCTCCGATCCGTACTCCAGGCACTTGTTCAGGCCCGGCACCCCTGACCGCCAGCCGATGAAGCCCTGCGTGGTCTTCGGAACCGGGGGCGAGGGGAGGACCTGGGAGGGAGACGCAGCGGTCAGTCACCTGGGCAGCGGCATGAGGCGGTCCACGGAGGCCCCCGACCCGCGCGAGCAAAGCCGGGGCCCGGGAGGCTCAGGCCCAGCCCGGTGCTCGCCCGCAGTCATGCTCACAGACACGTTCCTGCAGCTCGTTGGACTCCTGTCCGCCAGTACATGATTCTTATTTGATAAAAGAGCACACAGCCGGAAAAGTAAGGTGCAGAAATATCAAACACCGCCCTTCATAAAATCGGTGACGATATTGCCAGGTGGGTTTCTGGTAGTTATAAACCTTCCGGCTTTGATTAGAATGGTTTATGATGTGAGTACACACATACACACATACACACATACACACACACACACACACACACACACACACACACCAGAGACCACAGGAATGAGAAGCAATTGAACTTAATTAAAATCCAAAAGCAAAACGGGATTCTTTCTGAAAGGAAAACCCCACACACAATTTCAACTGTCACGTCCTTGGACAGACTTGGAATTTTTGGAACGTGAGGGTAAATGTTCAGGCAGTTCCCTCTCCCTGTGAATCGATCGTCTGTCCTGCTCTCACGGGTGATCTGAGTGGAGAAAACGGTGAGAAATTTGTTCCCACGGAAGCACTGAGATGAAGAGGTTTAATATGCTGGGGTTATGAGTTCACGCTTGGCTACAGCATCTTGGCGAGGCATGGCGGGAGGGGCGGACCTGGTGGGCCAGCTGCCTCTGGTGGGTGAAGCCCTTAACATATGTTCTTGATGAAGCATTAAAATTAATCTCCTGAGAGGCCACAAGCAGGGAGGGTCGTCCATAAACGCCAGAGGATCGCAGTTTCCCGCATCAGCTTGGGGGGAGCTGTCCCAGACGGGCCCTTGGGAACACGCAGACCTGCCTTCAAGCCTCCCTCCAACTTGTAGGAGAAACGCAACTGAAAACCTGCCTTGGTTGCAGACTCCATCCCTGGCCCAGGTTGGGGGGCTGTGAGGGAGGCAACCAATCGATGTGTCTCTCTCACATCAATGTTTCTCTCTCTGCCTCTCCCCCTCCCTTCCGCTCTCTCTAAAAAAATCAATGGAAAAATATCCTCGAGTGAGGATTAACAACAAAAAACAAATAAAGAAGAACACAAAAAACCACCCAGGAGGCCACGCTTCACCCACCAGATTGGCAAGGAAATGAAAACAGCACCCTAACAAGGGCATCCTGGGAGAGCAGGTTGGTTCATTCTCTGTGAAGGGCCATGTTGCCATTGTCTCCGAAAGTGGCCGCCTTCATCCTGAGTTTTCATCTCCTCTTCCCATCAGGACACAGAACTGCTTTCTCCGCAGCTGAGCAGAGGGCAGACCCCAAGATGAGAATGACGGGCCCATGACGAGAGGTCCAGGGACCTACGGAGCTGAGCAATTTCTAGTCTCTGACCCACCTCCACAGCTGACTGGCCTCCGTGGGAACACCCTCTCAGTCTTCTCCCCTCTGGGGTCGCCCTGGCACTCATCAGCAACCAAAGCGATCTCATGCCCTGCTTTCTGTTGCAGATTGGGTTCAAATCCCAACTGCTCCTCTGGCACCTGAGGTCCGGTGGGAGCTGGCCCTGCCCACTTCTCCATCCACAGCCCTTCCCGCCGCACCCCTCCCCCACCCCAGCTCACCAAGCTCCAGACACATCAACATCCCTTGCTGCTCCTGAAACATTGCAACCTTTGTTGTGCCTCAGGGCTCCGTACATGCTGTTCCCTTTGCCGGGAATGCTTTTCCCTGGGCTGGCTCCTTGCCATTCTTCAGTCCTCAGCTCCGCGGGGGCTTTTCTGGCCACCCCATCCCCTGTATCCTCCAACATCACCGGCCCATTTCCTCCATGGCATCTAGCACAGTGTATAACGTTTTTGTTGATTTTCTTGTTTCACGTTGGTGACCCCAACCCACATGTGTGAGCTGGAGTCTTGCCTTCTAGTTCATCACTGTTTGCCCAGCCAAGCACCTGGCCCCTCCTCACAGCTTGCAGCCACTGGCACTCTCTAAGTCCTTCCCAGCATCCTCCTCTGGGCCCGACGCCATCCCTGAAGTAGGTGCTTTCACGAACCCCCATTGTGCAAGGTGGAAATAGAGACACAGAGAGGTCAGGTCCCTGCCCAAGACCCCCAGGAGGGGAGTGGCTCAGCGATCTGACTCCAGAGCCCCACCTTCGCTGCCCTGCTTCCCTGCACCCCCTTAAACCTTGGATCGAGCCCCTCATTGTCTTGGCTCCCCTCTGCCTCTTCAAAGCGGATGCAGAGGCTCTCAGCGTGTAGACAGCCACCTGCTGTGCGGGCGTGGAGAGGGCGTGGAAACGGCACCCCCACCTGCCAGGCGCGGCTGAGTTCTTACCTTGGGCGGCTGTCTGTCTGCACCTGCACAAAACACATGCTGGGGGTGGGGGTGGGGGGGCTACTTGCTCACTTCGGGAAGCAAGTATTTAAAAACAACTTTGCAAACCTTGATATATTTCTCCACGGGGGTCAACGGCCGGATGTGGAACCTCTGGGGAAGCTCGATCTTGGGCTTTGGGGCGGGGGGTCCATCTTCACACTCGATCAACTGAAACACAATCCAGACACAGGCCACCCCAGGCTGAGAGGGTGGACGAGCCCTCTTCATCGGCCCCCAGAACTCCGCGTTTTACAGATGACAACGCCTTCCCCACTGCAGCTAGAAAGGGGCAGCGGGGCCTTGCAGGCCGCTAACTGCGGTGCCCGCGCTCGCCCTGCAGCCTGCTCATCATATTCCCGAGGAGTAGTTTGAGGGGACTTCAAGGATTATGAGCTCAAACTAAAAAATGCCAACCAGGCTCAGGACCAACCTTTAAAATATCAGACAAGAGCCACCCATTCCTCCTTTTAATTTTTGTTGTTGTTCATCCTCACCAGAGGATATTTTTTTCATTGATTTTTCAGAGAGAATGGAAGGGAGGGAGGGGAGAGAAGAGAAAAAGAGAGAGGGAGAGAGAGGAACATTGATTAGAGAGACATATCGACTGGTTGCTTCCCTCACGTGTCCCAACGGGGGGCGGGAAGCCAACCTGCAACCCAGGTACGTGCCCTTGACTGGGAATTGAACCCGAGACCCTTCTGTGCTCAGGCAACGTTCCAACCACTGAGCCACACCGGGCAGGGCCCCCATTTAATTTTTAAAGCAATTTTGAACTCTTCAAGAATCCAATTTAAATTACATATAAAGAATATTAATATAGATTCTTTGTATGCATATTATATTAATTAGAACACATTTTTGCCCTGGCTGGTTTGGCTCAATGGATGGAGTGTCAGCCTGCAGACCAAGGGGTCCCGGGTTCGATTCTGGTCAAGAGCATGGCTCGTGCAGGGGGCAACCAATCGATGTGTTTCTCTCACACGGATGTTTCTCTCTGTCTTTCCCTCTTTCTTCCATTCTCTCTAAAAGAAGAAAATCAATGAAAAAATATCCTCTGGCGAGGATTAATAATAACAAAAAAAGAACTCATTTTATGCATAAAATTTCAAATTGTACAATACTCTTAAGTATTGAACAAGCTCATTAAGAATGGCATCATTTCAAAGCTAGTGGGATGGGGCAAGTTACAATGGGGTTGACGCCACCTTGACTCAGGATCGTTCTGAATTAGGTGGCGCTTATTTGGTTCTGCGACCCTCCAAGGACATGAGGCTTCTTCGTGTCATAGCTGGAGAGAGCTCAAAAGGGTGAAGACTGGTGGCCACCACCCCAGTCTTCGTTAATGGGCATAAACGAGCAACCCTCCGCACAGGGGTTGTTGTGCGGGTTAAATACGCTGCTTCGGAGACAGCACCTAGGACCTGCAGGGCACATAGTAAGCGCTCAATAAATCCGGGAAGGGAAGGACCCTTCGGGTTTCAGAGGTGACAGTCTTTGCCTACCACATGCTCTTTAATTTTATTCTTGCAAATTATACACTTCATAACCATTTATTCTTGGAAATGATCCATTCTATTACCTCTGGACTCATAAAATTTATATTTACCTCCTCGAGAGGGGTTGTTAAAAATCCCCAGTTCTGGGCCCAGTTTTTCTGTGCTTCGGTCTCGGCCTTCAGGCGGTATCTCCTAAAAAAGAAAGTTCCTAAGGGCTGGACAATATTCAGAAAGGTTAAAGTAGCAAATCCCAAAGGTTCACGGGGAATCTGACACTTGTCCATGTGCAGGCACTGACGAAGTTCTGTGCCAGGAGGGATCCCGTCACTGAGACCCTCACAGGACTGAGGAAGACACGTGCCTGGAGAGCCAGAGGTGCTGGCTGGACGGCACAGTGGGTGCAGACAGGAAGGGGGCTGACTGCCTTAGGGGCCATCCGGGTACTTAATCTTGGAGGCCTCTGACCCACAGCGATGAGCACGTGTTAAATCGTTAAGGAAGTTCATAATAAGTACCTTGGTTCTCAGGGCAAGGACTGGGGTGGTGTGAGAGAGGCACCTGGGGTGCAAAATGTAAGGAGGCAGGCACCCACTCCCAGGTTCCTGCAAGGGCACAGCCAGCACTTACATGACCTTGAGCTTGAGCCCTCCGTAAACATCACACCCCAGCTGCCTCACTCGACCCATCCTGCTTTTACTTCACATTAAGAAGCTGAGTTGACAGTAGAAAATGGTGGCGGATTAAGTGGAAGCTATACTGACACTCTCCCAGGACCAAACTGGAATTTCAACTAATATACAGAAAAACCATCCTGAATAATCCACTGAAGACTAGCTGGAGAGAACCCTGATATCCAAGAATGGAAAGTGGAGACTGCACAGAGACTGGTAGGAAATTTGGAGGTGCAAAAGGGCTGGCCAGGCTCCAACAGACAGCAGCTGAAGTTCTGGAGGAATATCTCAGCTGTTGTGGGTTCCACTGAGAACTCCTGGGTCTAAATCCCACGCTGGACTCCACAGCCCAGAGCACCAGCACTGAGAAAGATCCCACATCACATCTGGCCGTGAAAAGCAGCGGGGTTGCTGTCTGCCAGGGGGAGATGACTGGAAATGCAGGCACCCTCTTAAAGGGCCAATCACAAAGTTTCATGTGCAGCCACTCACCCTGAGCTCCAGCAGAGGGAGGAGAGAGTGGCTTAGAGCAGTGTGAGGAGCATCCAGGGTTGAGGGCTCTGGGGTTAGAGCTCGGAAGGCAGCCACTATGGTTTCCTGTGCGGAGGCATTCCCTCATACTGCAGAGAACATCTTTTTCAGGCAGACCTTTACCATCCAGGCAGCTTTTGCCTGGGGGCAAGGTAAGAAATTGCCCCAACCTGTTGGAAAACCTCTCACCCCACCCAGTGGAGTTTCTGAGGCTCATTTTTCCTCATAAAGAAAAAAGTCATGCAAGTTCAAGAGGCACAGAGAGTCCCAAGCAAGAACCCAAACAGGCCCACGCCCAGGCACATAATTAAAATGCCATAAATTAAAGACAAAGAGAGAGTCTTAAGGGCAGCAGGAGAAAAGCAAACTTACCTACAAAGGAACTCCCATAAGGTGGTCAGCTGATTTTGTATGAGAAACTGTATAGGCCAGAAGAGAATGGCATGGAGTATTCAGGATAATGAAAAGTAAGGATCTAAAACCAAGACTACTATATCCAGCAAGGCTATCATTCAAAATAGATGCTGAAGCAAAGAGCTTCCCAGACAGAAAAAGGCTAAAGGAGTTTATCACTATCAAGCCAGCATTGTAAGAAATACTAAAGGGACTGTTATAATAAGAATAGAAAGAAAAACAGAGACATAAAGAATTAAAATGGCAATAAATAAATACCTATTAATAATAATTAAATGTAAATTGACAAAATGCTCCAATCAAAAGACGTAGGGTAGTTGAATGGATAAGAAAACATGACCCAACTATATGCTGTCTACAAGAGACCCACCTCAGAACAAAAGACACACACAGGAAGAGAGTGAAGGGATGAAAAAAAATTTTCTATGCAAATGGAAACAAAAAAGCCGGGGTAGCAATACTCATAACTGACAAAGTAGACTTCAAAATGAAGGCCATAACAAAAAACAATAAAGGTCACTATATAATACTGAAGGGATCAATCCAACAAGATTATATATCACTGGTAAACATATGCACCCAATATAGGTGCACCTAAATATATAAATAAACTTCTGGAGGACTTTAAGGGAGAGACCAACAGCAATACAGTCACAGTAGGGGACTTTATATCCTGCTGACTTCACTGGATAGATACTTCAGACAAAAATCAACAAGGAAACAATGATTCTAAAGGATACACTAGATCGTATGGATTTAATTGACATTTATAGAACATTTCACCCCAAAGCTGCAGAATATACATTCTTCTCAAGTGCACATGGGCCATTCTCAAAGATAAACCACATGTTAGCATGCAAAATAAGTCTCTACAAGTTCAAGAAGACTGAAATCATATCAGGCATCTTCTCACACCACAATGACATGAAATTAGGAATCTACTATAGTAAAAAGATTTTAAAAACCTCAAATACATGGAGGCTAAATAGTATGTTATTAAACAACAAATGGGTTACCAATAGATCAAGAAAGCAACCCTGGATGCTCCTCACACTGCTCTAATCTACTCTCTCCTCCCTCTGCTGTTTTGGCAGGAGTCAAAAACTTCCTGGAAACAAATGAAAATGAACACACAACAACCCAAAATCTCTGGGACACAGTGAAAGCAGTACTGAGAGGGAAGTTCATGGCACTACAGGCCTACCTGAAAAAAAAAATTATAAACTATCTGACCCTACAACTTAAAGAATTATAAAGAGAACAACAAGCAAATCCCATAATAAGTAGAAAGAAGGAAATAATAAAGATCAGAGTGGAAATAAATGACATAGTGACTAAAAAAAATAAAAAATAAAAAAGCCATTGAAACCAACAGCTGGTTGTTTGAAAAGATAAACAAGATTGATGAACCTTTGGCCAGAATCATCAAGAAACAAAGAGAGGCCCTAACCAGTTTGGCTCAGTGGATAGAGCGTCGGCCTGCGGACTCAAGGGTCCCAGGTTCGATTCCGGTCAAGGGCATGTACCTTGGTTGCAGGCACAACCCCAGTAGGGGGTGTGCAGGAGGCAGCTGATCGATGTTTCTCTCTCATCGATGTTTCTGACTCTCTCTATCCCTCTCCCTTCCTCTCTGTAAAAAAAAAAAAAAAAAAATCAATAAAATATATAAAAAAAATAAATGTTATTAAAAAAAAAGAAACAAAGAGAGGAGACCCAAATAAATAAAATAAAAAATGAAAGTGGTGAAGTAACAACTGACACCAGAGATATACAAAGGATTGTAAGAAAGTACTATGAACAACTATATGCCAACAAGCTGGACAATGTGAATGAAGTGAAAAAATTACTACGAAAATACAATCTTCCAAAACTGAATCAGGAAGAATCAGAAAACCTGAATAGGCCAAGAGCAACTGAGGAAATAGAAGCAGTAATCAAAAAACTCTCAGCAAAAAACCCTGGTCAGGACAGCTTTACAGGGGATTTTTACCCAACATTCAAAGAAGAAATATCACCTATTCTCCTCAAACTATTAAAAAAAAATCCAAGAGGAATCAACACTTGCAAGCTTTTTTTATGAGGCCAGCACTAAATTAATTCCAAAACCAGATAAAGACACTACAAAGAAAGAGAATTGCAGGCCATATCCCCCACAAACATAGATGCTGAAAACCTCAACAAAATATTAGCAAATCACATCCAGCAATATATTAAAAAGATCATACAACATGACCAAGTGAGATTTATTCCAGGGATGCAAGGCTGGTCAATGTTTGCAAATCAATAAATGTGACACATCACATTAACAAATTGAAAGACAAAAATCACATGATCATATCAATAGATGCAGAAAAAGCATTCGACAAAATCCAACAACCATTTTTGATAAAGATTCTTAGCAAAGTGGGAATAGAGGGGTCATACCTCAACATAATAAAGTCCATAGATGATAAATATACAGCAAACATCATACTCAAAGGGAAAAAAATAAAACCATTTCCCCTAAAAACAGGAACAGGATAGGGATGTCCACTTTCACCACTCTTATTCAACATGGTACTAGAAGTCCTAGTCACAGTGACCAGACGAGAAATAAAAGGCATCCAAGTTGGAAAGGAGGAAGTAAAACTGTCTTATTTGTGGATGGCATGTACACAGAAAACCTAAAAACTCCACCAAAAACTCCTAGATTTAATAAATGAATTTGGCAATGTAGCAAGATAGAAAATTGACACCCAGAAATCAATGGCATTTTATACACCAATAATGAATTATCAGAAAAAGAAACTAAAAAAAAAAACAATCTCATGTACTACTGCAACAACAACAACAACAAAATTAAGATACTTAGGAATAAACTTAACCAAGCAGATAAAAGACCTGTACTCAGGAAACTAGAGGACATTGAAAAAAGAGATAGAGGAAGCTATAAACAAGTGGAAGAATATACCATATTCATGGATTGGTAGAATTAATATCATTAAAATGTCCATACTACCTGCGGCAATCTGCAGATTCAATGCAATCCCTATTAAAATACCAATGGCATATTTCACAGATCTAGAACAAATACTCCAAAAATTTAGATGGAACAAAAAAATACCCTGAATACTAATAGCCACAGCAATGTTGAGAAAGAACAACAAAGTTGCAGGAATCACAATGCCAGATTTCAAGGTATACTACAAAGCCACCGTAATCAAAACAGCCTGGTACTGGCACAAGAACAGGCATATAGAGATCAATGGAACAGAACAGAGACCCCAGAAATTGACCCAAGCCATTACCCTCAATTAATATTGGACAAAGGAGGCAAGAACATACAATGGAGTAAAGACAGTCTCTTCAATAAATGGTGTTGGGAAAATTGGACAGATATATGCAGAAAAAAAAATGAAACTAGACCCACAAACTTACACCATACACAACAATGAACTCAAAATGGATAAAAGATTTAAATGTAAGTTGTGAACCATAAAAATCCTAGAAGAAACCACAGGCAGCAAAATCTCAGATATCTCTCATAGCAATATGTTTATGGATACATCTCCTAGGGCAAAGGAAACTAAGGAGAAAATAAACAAATTGGACTATCTATACTAATAAAAGGGTAATATGCTAATTAGACTAGACGTCTTCTGGACATCCATCCAGACGTCCTTCCAGACAAAGCCATGGTGGCAGGGGCTGAGGCAGAGATGGTTAGGGGCGATCAGGCCCGCAGAGGAGGGTAGTTAGGGGTGATCAGGTCGGCAGGCAGAGGCAGTTAGGGGCAATCAGGCAGGCAGGCAGAGAGGTTAGGGGTAATCAGGCAGGCAGGGGAGCAGTTAGGGGCATCAGGCAGGCAGGCAGTTGAGCGATTAGGAGCCAGGGGTCCCCGATTGTGAGAGGGATATCTGACTGCCGATTTAGGTTCCAGGATTGGGCCTAAGCCATTAGTTGGGCATCCCCCAAGGTGACCCGGATTGGAAAGGGTGCAGGCAGGCTAAGGGACCCCCCCCTCCGTGCACGAATTTTGTGCACCGGGCCTCTAGTATTAAAATAAAAAGCTTCTGTACAGTAAAAGAAATCATAAGCAAAATGAAAAGAGAGCCCACTGTATGGGAGAACATATTTGCCAATGATACGTCTGATAAAGGGTTAATCTCCAAAATACATAAGGAAATCATACAATGTAACAAAAGGAAGAAAAACAATCCAATTAAAAAATTGACAAAGGACCTAAATAGACCCTTCTCCAAAGTGGACATACAGATGGCCCAGAGACATATGAAAAAATGCTCAAAGTCACAGATCATTAGAGCGATGCAAATTAAAACAGCAACGAGGTATTGCCTCACACCTGTCAGGATGGCCATCATCAATAAATCAACAAATGACAAGTGCTGGCGAGGATGTGGAGAAAAAGGAACCCTAATACACTGCTGCTGGGAATGCAGACTGGTGCAGCCATTATGGAAAACAGCATGGAGTTCCCTCAAGTAACTAAATATGGATCTGCCATTTGACCCAGTGATCCCACTTCTAGGAATATATTCTAAGAAACCCAAAGCACCAATCAGAAAATTAAAAAGCAAAATGAATACATGTTTGCACACCCACTTTGATATGAACTCAGCTTCTTTTTTTAAAAATTTATCTTTGCTGTTGAAAGTAATAGAGATGTACCCTTCCCCCCCACATCAACCCCTTCAAGCCAACCCCTCCCCGCACCCAGGCCTTTACCACATCATTGTCTGTGCCCATGGGTTCAGACAGGGAATTTACACTAGCTAAGATCTGAAAACAGCTCAAGTGCCCATCAGGAGATGAGTGGATAAAAAAGCTGTGGTACATTTATACCATGGAATACTATGCAGCAGTAAAGAAAGAAGGCCCTTGCCCTAACGGTTTGGCTCAGTGGATAGAGTGTCGGCCTGCGGACTCAAGGGTCCCAGGTTCGATTCCGGTCAAGGGCATGTACCTTGGTTGCGGGCACATCCCCAGTAGGGAGTGTGCAGGAGGCAGCTGATTGATGTTTCTCTCTCATCGATGTTTCTAACTCTCTATCCCTCTCCCTTCCTCTCTGTAAAAAATCAATAAAATATATTTAAAAAAAAAGAAAAAAAAAAGAAAAAAAAAAAAGAAAGAAGGCCCTCTTACCCTTTGAGATAGCATGGAGGGACCTGGAGAATATTATGTTAAGCAAAATAAGCCAGTCAGGGGAAGACAAGTATCACATGATCTCACTCATATGTGGAATGTAAAGAACAAAATATACTGATGAACAAAATAGATCCAGAGACAGAGAAACATGGAACACTGATGAATTTCAGAGGGGAGGCGGGGGTGGGTGAGTGGGCGGGAAGAGTTTAACCAAAGAATTTATATGCAGAACCCATGGGCACAGACAATGATGTGGTAAAGGCCTGGGTGGGGGGAGGGTTGGCTGAAGGGGTTGATGGGGGAAAAAAGGGTACATCTGAATTACTTTCAATAACAAAGATAAATTAAAAAAAAGAGAAGCTGAGTTGAGTTCATATCAAAGAGTGGGTGTGCAAACATGTATTCATTTTGCTTTTTAATTTTCTTTCCTATTTTGGAATCAATACCTACCCTGCTGCCCCCCCGTGTCTTAACCGTTTCAGAGACCCTGGCCAAGCTCGTTGTCCTGGTCCCTGAGCATCAGCAGCAGAGCTGTAACATGGGCCAAAAATAGGAGCCATACATAGGATTTTAAATTTTCTAGTAGCCACATTAATACCAGTCAAAGTGAACAGGTGAACTGAACTTTAACATCACTTCTGCTTTGGTGTGAAATCTTCAAAGTCTGGTATTTTACTTTACAGCTCATCCCCATTTGGAACAGTTCCGTTGCAAGTGCTCAATGGCCACTTTGGACATTGGATAGACAGTGTAAGTGCTTCACTGGCTCTGCTCACATAGGAAGGGCCATCTGATTTGGTGTCTTGAAGGGTGAGTAGGAGTTTATCTGGTTGAGAAGGAGGAAGGGGCATTCTAGGTAGTGGGAACAGAGCCTGCTATGGGAGTATCACCTAGTGGGGTGCTTGCATCAAGACAAAGATTTAAACCAAATCAGTAGTTGTGTATTTTATGCCAAATAATGTTGGCTTTCCATTTTCAAGAGTGATGCAAAGTTTTTTTATAAAAATAAATGTATTAAATGAAACAAAGTCAGTTTAAAGAAAAATAGTAATGACTATTATAGGTTAAAAATGGTAAAAGTCATATCGATGACAAACAGGATAACTGAAATTTAAGAGGCAAATATTTATGGTTTGTTGTTACTAAAATTTACTTACTGGCATCTACACTGGTAACTTCCCATATTGGTTAAAACTTCAAAGAGATGGGATAATGTTTAGCAGTCAGAGAGAATGCCAAATAAAAACAACCCATTACACATGTCTGCTGAATATAAATCTGATAGAAAATGGATCTAGTCTTTAAATTAAAATCTCTTATTACTTAAAATGCCTGGAAAAGCAAGCGAGAATATAAAGTGTATATGTATTTCTCATTCAAAAAGAATAAATATGAGATTTTTGTTTTATTCCCTTCTTAAAAAATTGGTAAATCTTAAAAGTAAGAACACATCAAGGCTTTGCATGTTTGTAGAGCCCGATCCGCAATCTTTCAGGCCTTTGTGGTGAGCCTAAGAGAAGACGGGGAATGAAAGGCCCTTTGGTCGACTACGTGCCCCTATTACTGCCCTCTTTCCTCAAGGCCCCTGACCATCTCCAGGACATGGCAGAAACTGGGATACTGAGGCCGCCAGATTTGTACACTCTGGGTGGGAACCGCCCAGCCCACCGGTGACCGGATCCCCGACGTTACCAGATCTGGTCCTGGGCCACAAGGTTCATGCGCTCGGCCTCCGCGATGCTCATTGGTTTCTGCGACATGGCTCCTGGGGTCTCGGTTGTCCTGCACGCTGCTGCCCTTGCTCAGCGTCTTTCGTCGTCCAGGAGACCGGTTGCCGAGCAACGCGAGACGCGGAGGCGGAACCACACCTGGCGGAGGCGGGGCCATGGCCAGCATCCGCCAGCCTCTGTGCTCTTCGCCCACCTCCTGCCCACCTGCCTGGACTGGCGGCAGCAGACCCCTCGTTCTCTGCGGAAAGCCCCGAGGAAACATCAAGACCTTAACCCCGCCTCCTTTAAAATGTAGGCCTGCAATGCAAGCACACACACCCGCAGGCGCACACGCCTGTGTGCCCCCGCTTAACCCCTTCTCTCCCCGGGAGCAACCCCTGGATTAGGGAACGGACATTCCAGCCACTGC